CACAGGAGCATCCTATCTTGTGTCAGTTTTTTCTGTTGAGATGGATATTGCTTTTACGAGTCCTGCTTGCTAGGTGGCTCCTGTCATTTTAGACCCCTCCATTATTAAAGACGTGTACGAGGGCCTGGCGGACAGGACACAACACCTGGAGACCCAGGGAAGCAGAAACGGGAGATCAGGCAGGATGCCCAGCACAGCCTAGCACAGCTGTCCCAAGGCAGCTCTCACCTCTCCTGAAATATGACCAGGCATCATTTCAGATAAACCACAAGGTCACTACACCTTAAACCACAGAAATTTCCCTCTCGATAAACCTTTTTTTTTTAACTTGGGCATTTGGGGGGTTGAATATGTATAATTTCAGTTTCTAAGTGTTGTTATAAACTATATACAGTTTCAAAGTGTTTTTGTGCACCAGTAGGAGATTAATATCAGCATCTTTCATGGTGAGAAGGAAAGCTTATGAAGTTATAAGGTGCTTGTAAAGTTGTAAGGTCAGAGAACCAGCAGCTCTACGGGAAGTTAACCGGGTCTCGATAGGCCTCGATTCACTAGACTGTTCGGGAATAGAATCACAGGATCATTATGGTTGGGACAGACCTTTAAGATCATCAAGTCCACCCATAAACCCGTCCCCACCATGTCCCTAAGCGTCTCATCTACCTTGAATACTGCCAGGATTGAGGATGCCACCGCTTCCTGGGCACAGTCAGAGTCTGTCCAACGAGTGCCCTGAAGTTGGGTTTTGTTACGTTTGAATTTCAAAAAACCAACGCATTGACTTAATGCATTAGTGCTGGTAAGTCAGGGAATTGGTAGAGTTAAACTCTGTCCTGAGCAAAAAGGCATGCAAAAGCAGAACATGCTGATCTGAGGTGTTTGGCATCTACCAATTACCAATTTGTAGAGTCTATAACTATTGGAAAATTTGGGAAGGTCTTGATGTTCAAAAGAAAAAAAAATAGGAAACTTCCATAGGTAATAGATTTTCATCTATTTTAAATCACTTTGTAAATTTAAAAGTCCACATAAAGACACTCTATGTGGCTGTGTGCCTCTGTGCCTTTGAAGAGGTCTGAGATTGCAGCAGGAAGAAAGGTTTGGGCTTAAATACTGGATGTGTCTGCAGGAAAGTGCAAGCGGATTAAGAAAACATATCTTAAAACTTGTCTAYAAAATCTGATTTCTTCTTGACCGCATGCTCTGTATTATCCACCCCTAAATATAGATAAAACAAAACAAACCACTATGCCATTTTGTACCAATCCTATATCTTGGACAACTGTTTGTTCTTAAGCAAAATGCCTTGACATGGTTAAACACCAGGTCAGTATAGATATTATGAAGCACAGATACAAGCTTTGTAGCTCRGCCTGGACCCCTGGGCTCCCTCTTCCAGGCCAACCAACAGAAAGCCCCAATACCTGACCGTACAGTTGGGGTCTCCACAGGAAAAGCCAGACACACAGTGTTTCCATAATACAACATTTAACTGARAACAGTTATGGACCATTTTGTTCTCTTGCTGCTTTGTAAATGTCAATTACATTTATCAACACAAATAAAACTTAGTCTAGCCAAATAAAGTCATTTTGCATTAATTTATTGACTGCATTTACTGACTATATAAACGATATCCACGGACTGTACATGTGTTAATGTTTAATGTTTATTCATATTGTTTTGTTTTCTCTACTGAAATATACAGCAGCTGAACTATTACAATTTGTGCATGACTGTACACTAAATAAACCCTCTGGAACTAAGTAACTTGCGTGCCTTTTAGCTTTATTTGTCCTGGAACTCAAATGACTAATTGTGACCTTAAGTACTATGGACTCTATGTAAATAACGAGGATTTTGTTTTTCTCTAATTCAATAAAACATGAACTGGCAAAAAAAAAAAAAAAAAAAATTGGGCAGTGGGTGAAGGAAAAGGAGGTGATCATTAAATGTTTCTTCATGAGTTTCCTTGGCCAAATTTCACAATGAAAAGAAGGGATTCTGTATGGAAGACATGGTCTTCAAAGCCATATGGAAGTAACAAAAAACATAAATGAAATAGCAGGATAGAGAACAAGAATGAAGAATTACATTGAAAAAAGAATGCCTAGCTAGACAATAATGGATAGAAATGATTTGCTTCATCAGAATCATGTTTCAGCAGGAAACTTAGCAAATTATGTCAAACCTTTCAAGAAATGTTCCTTTGGMTGAGTCAAAAGATATTTTACAGTAGACAAGTAACGTTTATAAAAGCTTTTCAATCTGAAAACATGCTGTAATGTTAATTACGATATTTACTAATCCTGAATTAATGCTGGAAAATGAATCGCCCACACTAATATGCTCTCAGGCATTTATGCAGTGAGGAGAAGAAAATTAGTTCTGGTGGCACCCTTATTCACAACCCATCAGTTACTAATGAAAGCGTCTTTAAAAKCTGGGAGACTAAAAGGTGATTCTGGGTTTTCATATCAGCTAATACTAATTTCTTGTGGAAGAGCTTGTTCTGTGAGTACACAGCCTTTCACAAAGTGCAAACAGGAGGCGTTTTCTGCGGATGAGGCTTTATTTTTTAGGAAGATTCATCACTGCAGAGAGCTGAGCYAGAGCACTCCTCCATTATTGCGACTATCAGGTAGCATTTAGCCTGTTTCTGTTACACATTATTTAAACAGACCTGCAGTTTCTTCCAGGACACTTCAGTCCCAGGTGCCTCCTCCCCTGAGACACAGGATTTATTTTAGCACTGAGGAATTCCACCCTGGCTCCACACGGGCCTCTCTTTAAACCTGTTGGGAGGAAATGTGAGCAAGCAAGGTCGGKAGCTGACTCACGTCCAGTGCCCTCTTTAATGCAAAGATGACTTCAGGCTTTTTTCTCTGGAGTTTATGTTGTATGTGGAGGTGACAGATGCAGCCTCTAGTTAACACCAAGGACTGTGGTGAATGCGGAATGCATTTCTTTCCATGTGATGGGATAATTGCTGTTAGTTAAGTCTGCAAGTTACATACACATATAATCATGTTTGATCAAAATAAAGAACTAGAAAAAGTCCTGTGATGTTTTTATTTAATTTCTTAGTTTATACATGTGTTCTTGTTAACCAAAAATATGTTGAATTGAGTTTTTCTTCAAATAAAAGTGTTTTATTGTTGTTGTTGTTGTTGCTGTTGTTTTTCCCTCTGCTACATAGATGCTACAGCAAATGTCATATTAGAGACACTTGACTGACCAGATGATTGGGGTCATGTTTTGCACTTTGATAAGTATACTATTACACATATAAATTATTAAATGCAATTTCCAATTAAAATTTCCTCCCACAGCAAGGTTTGGCCAGTTTTCTGCTCTTTACCCAATAGAAATATTGTACCAAAAATACCTTTTCTGTGCTAAGAGCAGGCACTGACTTGGATTTATGTGTATACACAATGTTGGAAGGAAAAAAAAGATTATACAAAACTCACAGGAACTGCACAGGGCATTTCTGATGGATGAGTGAAACTATTTTAGCATCTTCCTCTATATTCATCAGGGTAAACAGTAGCTTTCTTTTTGTTAAAACCCTGCAGCAGTTAGGGGCCATATTCTCTCACATGTGGGTTTATTTTTGTTTCAAAAGTTTACTGTTATTCTTAATATCTAAAGAATATCCCTGGACAATTCATGCTGAAGGTACACACATTTTCACAGACAGAAAGTCAAAGCTATGGCACATACTGACTCTTCTTTTTTTCCGCAAAACTGAAATTCTGTAGGCTTTGCCAAAGCTTTGAAGAAAACAGGAAAAATGCATTCTTAAATCAGCAAATTAATCTGATTTGCATAAAACTGCAAAGATGTTCAAATAACTCTCTCTGAAGTTAATGGAGAAAGGAGATTTTCTCTATGGATGTTCCAGTTCACCTAACATTAACTGACCTCAGTTACAGACTCAAGGATAAACAGCAAAATCTCCTTTGGTTAATTGAAGAGTCACTCCACAGACTAACCTGAACTTTGGTGACTGCAASACGACAGTTCTGTAATCATGAATTAGTGGATATCATAAAATGAGACATTTCTGCAAAAGTTTTGTTTATTCAACCCACCAGCTACTACTGATATGCTCAAATGTTAAGAGAACTTTTCATTATTGTTATCCTTAAGACCTTAGAACTGAATRTTACCTAGTGGAATCAGTGGTTTTAAGATCAGTTTTCGGGAAAAAAAAAGTAAAAATCAAAAGCTGTCCTGTGTCTCTGGAAGAGTTCTGGGGCCCCTCAATTGCAAGACAGAAACTGAAAATCTTTGACAAAAAGGTTTGAATTTTTAGGCAGAAAGGAGTTTTACTGCAGATACTTTGCTTGGAAAGACYGGCATGATTTTAGTTTGTATAGGCCTTGCAGCGAAATGAGTCGCTGACAGAAAAAAAAGTTGGACACACAAAATTAGTTGCTGTTTGTCCATCAGAGTCACAGCGGGGAGACTCAAAAAGTAGTCTCAAGCCTTCCAGGCTGAAGCCTCGAGACAGAAAAATGCAAAATATATTTCAAAAAATCATAATTCACCCTGCCAAAATAATCAAGGATGTTTAAACTACTCACTACTCACTTCTTCTTTATATCTCAAGATTTCTCATCAGCGTATTTGAATTCAAGTCTTCTTCCTTTCTGCATTTGTCTTATCCAATGTTTATGTCATCTGGCAAGACTTGGCAGGCCTAAGATAACGTCCTAGACTCCTGTTGTTATGGTGATGTCCTAGACTTCCCAAACTGAAGTAGGTCAGCTCTGTGTGGAAAAGCAGAACATCACGTTTCATTTAGTTCTGTTATGATGATACCGGGGAATAAATACAGCTTCTTTTCACGGATTTAGAAGGAATTTTTTTTTTTGTTTTGTTTTGTTTTGTTTTTTCAGAGCTAATAAAAAACACAGTCTTTGCCGAGATATAAACTATGGTGCCTTACAGGGTTTTGTGTAGGACAGACTGCAACTTCAGTACCAACTTATGACACTGGGTGGATCTCTGAAGTCATAAGAACAAGAGAAAAAAGTCTTTTAATTGACATGGACTTGGCAGGAGAACTGTGGAGTGGGCTCCACCCTGTTCGTTTCTTGCTTGAAGCTTCTTGATTTCTCCACTCTTGATCTGCCTCATGACAGGATGACTTGCTGCAGCRTTTTACTGTTTATGGCTGAAAGAATGCAGATAAATTAATTTATCAAGGCAAAGAAGGAGAATACGCAATTTTTCCTTCTCATCAGATACTTCAGCTGCCGGAAGCATTGGGAATCTGGAATTCTTTTATCTTGGGACTGAGGCCCATCCTGCTTTTGAATTATTTTTTCTGCACCAGCTCTACTGAATCTGGACTGTGCAGAAGCCTTGAAAGCAGGTAAGGAGGGTTTCCGCTTAACTTTGAGTGCACGTGATTATAGCCACCTCTTCTGGGTAACTCTGCTTTCCGTGCTCTGCAGTTTTGGTTTCACAGGAAATCTTCACATTTCTCATATAATCATCTAGTTTCTAAAGTGAAGAGGCCTTCAGCTCCTTRACACTGTTTAAAGAAAGACGTTCAGCAGTTTGTCCTGAGGGACAATAAAAAATTAAAAGAAAAAATTAAAAGGCCTAAAATACTTATTGATAAAACTCAAAGTATTGTATTTGAAAGAGGAAGGTATTTAATGATATAAATATGGTGCATTATTAAAAGCATATTTCCAGAAATGCACCTGGTTGGCCACAGAGAGTTTGCTGCTTTTATGTATATGCAAAATGTTAAATCTCTAGTGCATGTAACAAATGAGTCATACTCACTTCTCTCCGAATAAATAATATTGTGGTTTAACAGTGAACTCTAAACAACTCTAAACAGCAATGCAACATAAAATTTTTCACATCCAGCTTTGCAAATACGTATTTACAATCTACTGCAAATTGAAGAATTATGTGGTTTTGAACTTACCTTATAAACTTCCTATCATTATAATAATGCTGCAGTATATATAAGAAAAATAATATGCCTTAGAAAGATGTCAGATGCCATTGCTGTCTCTAGTAGGTTTTTAATGGGCTGTTATTAATGTGAAGGATCTTTTCTGTCCTGAAAGCAAGTTAATCGAAGGCTTCTAGAATTTATGAATGTATGGAAGGCTCCATAATGCTACAAATCTCAATTCAGAGATACTCTTCAGATAGGTAATTCCCTCAAGAGCTTTCCCTTACAGTTTCTTTCATAGTTACAGAGATAAACATTGACACATGATTTTATCATTTATTCTATTAACAGAATCCAGAGACTCTAGTTAGGGCTCACTGCATTTTTGACAAACAYTTAATGAAGTCTGTGTGGGAAAGCAAAGGGAAATCATCTGTTTTTATACYTTCTTTACTCATGTGGCCCTGAACAAGACATTTACCAATATTATTTCCCTCCATCAAGCCTTCCAAAATATAGTGCTTGTGAAGTTTTTAACTTCTTCTGATGGCAGTCCTACAGAAATGGAAGATATGCATTAAAAGTGAAATTTGGATCACTTTTGATACTTCATTTTCTGCTTATGCCAGGTTATGGTAACCTAAGATTGTGGAATGAGGTTTGAAGTTAATTCAAGAGCAATTTTTACATGATTTTAAATGAAGATTTTAAATGAAGATTTTAAATGAAGAATTATAAATTTAAACTAAAAAAAAAATATAACTGCAGAAAACAGTTTTGAAAGATTTTTTTCTTTCTGTGCTTCACTTGTTAACCCTGAATTTAGTATGTATACAGTAACTTGTAATTTGCCTCTAATCAGCTGTAGCAAATACAAATGAAGACCACATTAAATAATGAATGAAGTGAAACAATGACTACTTTCTTTCTTCTATCAGAACTACCAGGAACACATCAGTATTCGCCATATGATTCAACTGAAATGAATGTACTTATCACTGGAAATACAAATTGTAGCCCTTTCATCTCAAATCAGGCCGGAGTTATGCAACCAAAATAATATACCCTGGCAGGGGCCTTAGTCATCTGCTCTCCTCCAACATATGTCTTCTCTGTCTACCACTTTGATAAAGGCTGACTTTGCAGTCATAGTTGTTCTCACTATTGAGAATTTGAGAATATTTTTTTCTCATGGATTAAAGGAAATATTTCTACAGGGTAGAGATGATCCATGCYGCAGTCATTTTGTTCTTTACCATATAAAAATGCCACTTCTTAAGTAATTTAAGTATGGTGTGGGATTCAATCTCTCCTTTAATAAAACACCAAYGCTAACCTCCAGCCTGCTTATAAARCAATAATTAGTGAGAAAATACATCGTTTTCATGCTGTTAACAGGGAATGAGGAAAGGAGGAATGAGGAAGAGTATGCGAGCTGGGAGTCTGTCAGGAAGGACTAAACGAGTTGGGCCTGTTTAGCCCAGAGAAGATTGAGAGGGGATCTGATCAATACGTACAACAACTTGAGGAGAGGATGTAGAGAAGATGGGGCCAAACTCTTCCTGGTGGTGGCCAGTGACAAGACGAGGGGTGTTGGGTATAAATTTCTTGGAAACTTATACTTCATTTGGAAGTGATTTTTTTTTTCCTGAAGCTGTCACATTTCCCTTTTTTATTTTTTTACCTGAAAAATCAGGTAAAAATCATCATTTTTTAGAACATACATATATAAAGATTCAGCACAAAAAAATCATCATTTTTTAGAACATACATATATAAAGATTCAGCACAACAATGTCATAGCACCCATCTCCTTGTAAAGGACTGCAGCGTATCCTCCACTTGCACCTGAAGTCAAAAGGAGCTTGGCAAACCTGTAAGGATTCAGGCATAACTCTAATTATCTACATAATAACATGCACGTTTTTAAGAATATATTCTGTATCTAGATTTAGGCTGGGTCATCTCCTCTCCCCAAATATCTGACCAGGAATTTTAAACACATGAAAAATCTATGCATCTTAAATCTTGAGCATTATTTAGCAGAAGGTTCTCCTTCCCAGTTCTGCTAAAGGCACAGGAGTTCTGTGCCTCTGTGCAGAGACAAATATGGCATTATTCTTCTGCTAAAAWCTTAAGTCTAACAGCCTGATCTATGTAGAGAAACCTAAGTGTACGTGCAGAGTTCCCTCAGTTCTACACAGCTGGCCTACACAGATGAAACTGCTGATTTGAGCCACCAGGTACGACAAGTTACACCCACTTGTGTTAAGATGGAAGTGGAAGGACGTATGCTTTCCACAGGCTAAAAACGCATGAGTCTCAAGGATTCTGAATTGTTTAAAAGTTATCTAAATCTAAAAGCCAGACACTCCTGTTCCCTCACGTAGCTATTAGGCTGTCAACACAGGCTGTGCTCTACATAACAGGATGATTCAGAAGAGCAGGGCAGTTTTGGAGCCAGTCCTGCGGTTGCTCTTTACCACACACTGCTGTTCATTTGCCAGAGTGATTTTGGGTTGCAGGAGCTAACTCCTCTAGGAGGATCCCAAGCTGCCAGTTCCCCCTTGCAACTGCCCTCCCAAAGAGCTGCAGCAGGTACCTAACATATGTCAATGGGAGGCTCTCAAGTGGGAGAGAGCTCCCCAACACCTGATGTCATCTCATGCTCTCCAGAGAGCCAAAAAGAGGCACAGAAATAGGGGGGTTTGTATGGAAGATTTTTACATGTGTGATGGCAATATGGGCATTCCCCCTTCCAGAGGTACCCAAAACTACATGAACTATCTTCCTTTCTGAAAGTTTCTAACTGTCAGTATAGTAGAGATTTGCTGCACTGGGCCAGGTTATTTTCCATACAAAGTAAATTCTCCAGATCAAATATACTGGAGATATGAGAAGTCTGAACAGTATCTGCTTTCAAAATACTGATCCTATCCTATTTCACTGAGTTCCTTGCTAAAATAGACAGAGACATGGTAAAAAGTAGGTCATATACTAGAAAATGACAATTTCCTGGATTCTGTGTGTATGACAAGTTATCCAGGAATTATCTGGGCATATGATGCCCTAATAAGGTCAGCCCAACTGAGGAAAATGGAAGAMGATTGAGAGGAGCTCTTCCGCCAGAAGTATCCCAGAATCTTTCTCAAAGATYTGATAGTTTCATCTAATGAAAGGCACAGATGTACATAGATCATTTCCATCAAGTTTAAGCTTAAAAGCAATTAAAAAATCCTCACARTAGCATTGCAARTTTGGAAACATTCATTGTATTTTTTAGGCAGGTTTTTAAAATGAAAACAAAAAATCTTTCATCGTTTACAGTTCACAGATCAGGGAACAAGTTAGGGAATAGGACTGAGCCAGCAAACCATTTTATCCTAAACCCCCAGTACTGATAGGTTTAGAGTCAAGCATTTGCAGAACTCTGCTGAACTGGAATGATAAAGCTACTAAATTCTGCTGTATTTCTAAGGAGAAAATGAATGCTACAGAGTTATTTTTAATTAGTATGCATATAGCAAACATGCTATTATCTTCAGTTTGTCATGCTGCCTTTACTCATCCCACGTTCATTTCTCCTATTTAATCATCATATTTATTTTTCCTTCCAGACTCTGCGCTGGTCTTGTTTTGCATCATATAGATCTAAGTACAAGGTAAGAAGGAACTCTTGATCTAAATACTTAGGCTACTTTATAAATATATATATACCTATTATATATATGATTTAAACTTGTCASACTCTTCTTATTTCAAGGATGTATTTGTATATGAAAATGTAAGTAAAATGTTTTCAGATGTTTRTCTCAAGGGACACTTACTTTTTTTWWAAATTATAAAGCTTACTAGCTATATCAGAATAAGGCTATGTTTTCTTAAAAATATTCATTAAATGTTCACTAGAATGTATTAAATATGCATAGTAGTCCCCTTACTGATTCAAGACTGTATTTTAAGTATGTGAATTCTAAATTCACAATACTCTAAATATCAAGATGAATTTTTAAAAATATAAACATGTTGCTTTTTTTTTTTAAGGGTTTAGTAAAAACAAGGGCAATACACACAAAACAGGAATTTAAACACAGTATTTGGGCCAATACTTGAAACTGCTGTAGGCTAATTTGTTGTGAAAACATATATAYTTCTTTCAGTTTCCAAACATAGAAAGAAGTCTTCCTTTCATTCTCCTTTGCTAGTTTAGTAACATTTAATGTGTACTAAGCAAGTTATCTCTTGATACGGTGTGCAGGAAAATGTGTTTGATTTATATAATTGAAAACACTGGAGCAGGAATAAGCCATATTTAACAAAAGTCTCGAAGCTGAAGGAGTTAAAGTTAAAAAGACAGAGTTGAAGTCAACATTCATGCAAGAACTGTTACAGGATCCATGATGAGTATCACCTTTGTAACATAAAGCAATGTAGAACAATATTCAGTTTTACTTTTCCTGCTCCCACGGACTGTAAACAGCCGGAGCTTCTGTGGCTCTAAGCCAAGATACAAAGCCTGTGGATAAGCCAATTGARTAGAGTCATATTAGGGATGTTGCTGTGAATCAAGGGAAATGTTAYTTAACACATGTATGGGATTCAGGAGGGAAGGTGAAGGGTGGAGAGCTCCCCAAATCTGCCTCATCTTCACACCAGCTGTGTGTTTTTATTAATAGTGCTCACACAGTTGTGCCCTCCCACCGTTGCCAACCAGGGCTCTATGATTTCTGCAAGAWTTTTTGTTCCTCCAACAGAAATTCTGCTATCTTTCTATGACACAGTTTAGAAAACACAATAATAAGTGATTAAAAGAAAAAAGCAAYGCTGAAGCTAAGAGTCTATTCCAAATAATAAATTTTGGGGAATTGTTTGCAGCTAAAAAAAGCAGTTGAGCAACTAGTCTACGTATAGCAGATCTTGTCCTGGCTTAAAAGTTTGGTTATCTAGCCTTYGGCAGGAGCATCTAAGTTATGTTGTATCAATGTAATCTTTCAAAGGTGTCCTGTTCTTACAAGATAGCACACCTACTCAGCCTCTGATATTTAGATTTCAAATCCAGATCTCAGATTGTCGTTTAATAAAAATTTTGGAGGTCAAAAGAACAAGCTAATAATCAGCTCATCTGCATTACTGTTAAGGTTTTTGAGACCTTTACTTCTGAGAAAATTCTAGTGTCTCCAGTAGAAAATAAAGCCTGTCCAACCGTGCCTAAGGCACATGGTCCAATGAATTCTTTTTAAGCCCAAAATACTTAGACAAGCACTTAGCTTTATCCTAGGAATGGGCCTGCTGTCTTCAGATAAAACAAAAGAGATGTACATTGCTGTCAATCTCTGCAGAATATGCTCACTAGTTTAGACAAAAACTTTAAAAATAAGCAAAAAAAAAAAAAAGCATTGAATGGTAACTGATTTTTTATTTCACAACAATGCAAAATACATGTATGTTTCTGTTGCAAAAGGCTCCAGAAGTTGGATTGTGGTATACACCCTATTAGAAACTGCAGATGCTCCATGTAACATAATAGCACATGCCTCAAAGATGAATCAGATGCCAATATGTGCCAGAAATAGTCTTAAATTCCACAGGGAAATTATCATCTCTTGCACAAAGATTGTACACTTTAATTATTAAGTACTTTTAAAGTACGTGCATTCCTCAAAGATCACCAGAGCCCATATCAAAATGAGCCACATGTTGGCGCACAGAAAACGTCTTTTACTTCACTTTTATTCCTCTCACAGAGTAAATAAAGATACTTTCTTCAGTTCTATGGAAACAAGCACACCTGAGGCTGCTTATGCTTATGAAGTTACTCCTCTGTACAAGTGCTTACAAAATGACACTTATTATGTACTCCATATATGCTCCATAATGCATATATAGTAGTTCAAAATTATGTTGTGTGATCCTTGAGTTCTTATTTTATAAGTAGCTGCCCTAAAATGAAGGTTTTGGAAATGTTTTTCTCAGGTTTCTCAGCTTTGTAGATGGAGCCTCCTACGCAGGCAAGTGGCTGCTGCAGAGTCCATACAAAAAAAAAAAMCTTGTAGTTATTGATAGTCAAGTGTTTTGCAAGACTTTTCTGGCAAGCCCTCTTAAAAGTAACCAGGCAGGTTTGGTSTGTTTTCACCTCCAGTTACTTTTAGGATTTAGGAAACCCTTCACATAACATCTTCTCCTTCAACCAAGGGTTTGAAACATCAACCCAACGCAGCTCTGTATCACTAATTGTCAAACATATCACCAACAACCACCATCTTAGCGCAGTGCCCTTGTTTTTATTGTGAAAACAGGCAAGTCAGGACCCACTTTCTCACAGTTCTTCCTTGGGCRCGTACATTATTTGTGCGTTTAAGCAGGCCTAGGGTCATGGTGGTGGCGCGGGGGATGCAGAAGCCCCGCTGTCCGCGCACCCCCGCGGAGGCCGTTGGTGACAGCCGCGGGACTGCAGAGACGCAGGTAGCGGGCGGAGGGACAAAACAGCGCCCGAGCGCTAAAGGGAAAGGGGAAGAAAAAAAGGAAAACGGGAAGAAAAAAAGGAAAACGGGAAGGCGGCGTAACGGGGCGGCCGCCGAGGCGTTGGCGCATGCGCGGAGCCGTCCCCGTGCGGCGCCATGGGCGGCGGGCTGCGGCGCAGGTCGGTGCCGGGTCGGGTTCCCCGCGGCCCGGGGCGGAGAGGGGGCATGCGGGCGAGCGGCGGCTCCCGGCGGCCCCCGGCGGCCGTTGGCGGCTCCCGGCGGCTCCCGGCGGCCGTTGGCGGCTCCCCGCGGCCGTTGGCGGCCCGGCAGGAGCGGCGTGGCTGACGTCGTGCGCCCTGTGCTTCCTCCCTCGCTCTCTGCCTCTCTCGCAGGTGGTGTCCGCCTCACTGACCGCCCATGTCCTATTACCAGGAGGACTTCTTCAAAGAATACCTCAAAATGATGACGAATATCGTCATCCTGAGCTTGCTCATATGCATTTCTCTGGCCTTCTGGATCGTGTCCATGACGGCGAGCACGTATTACGGTGAGCTCGGAGGCCGGGAGCGGCGGGCAGRGCCGCCGGGAGGGCCCGGGGCTGCCCCAGAGCGGCCCTGTGGGGTCACACGGTGACACGGGTGAGTGTGGACAGTGTCCGCCGTGTCCCCTGCAAGGCAGCTATGGCAGCATGCGGGTTGCTGCTGTGCAGCTCTGCACAGCCAGGGCTGGTCGTGCTGCTTCYGTGCGCTGGCGTTTTGGGGCCAGGACCATCTTTGCAGCAGTGCTGGAATGCAGCAGCGCAGCCTTGGGCATCAGGTCCAGCGTGGGAGCATCCAGCTGCTCTCCCAGGACAGGTAGATGGGTCCGTAAGGCTTCCCGTAGGTTCATGCAGGAAGAGCTCCAGTGTTATTGCAGTTTTGTTTCTGTAAGTGCTTAGAGTTGCAGTGTGGACATCCTCAGGTGACCTGTGGCAGCTTGGGTCCAGAAGGAGCCAGAATTAATATCCCAGCAGCGTGACCAACTCTTGCAGTGTCTGTTGGATGCAGTTACCACATGTCCTTCAGGTTCYAGGGTAGGACACTAGTTGGTGGTGGTACAACATATGTGCTTCTCGTCTGGACATTCCTTCCAGTTAAGAAGAGATGCTGGACACACACAATATGCATAAGCAGGCTTGACTGCCAGGTTTTGCTAACTTTTTTTAGAACTGGCTGAGCCAGGTTTAAACATACTCTTTGGTTACCTTTGTGTGTGTSCGCTCTGTGCTCTCCACAGGTAGATAGCTCTTGGAGTTTTCCCACTATTCATTGTATTCCAGTCCGTGTTATCTAATGTAATTGAGAATTAACTGCAGAGTGACAGGGAGTGCTAGTATCAGAAGTATCAGGATAGGGACTGATTAAAAAAAGGAGAAAACTTCACACAAATCCTCCTTCCTATAGGAGGGAGGAAAAACCGTATCTTAACCCTAGGGAGGGTTAAGATGTTTTTCTTGCTGTTTTCCACTGGCTTGAGCCTGCCTATGTAATGACCTTTGCTTGAGAAATGGTACGAAACCAAGAGCAGGACCTGATTTAAGGAAGTACGGAAGAGAGCTTCAGTAAATGTAACTTGCAAAATTCATGAAACTTGCAGTCTTTAACCATAAATATACTAAATACATTCTTAAATTTGTAGCTGCTTAAGCACCAAACAGTGATAACAATATTTATATAATRGGAACATTAAAGAATCCCTAAGAATTCCATTAATGTCTTCTATCTCTTAATTAAGATGTAGTAATTCACTATCAATAAATATATAAAATAAAAATAAAATATTTTAGTTATAAATTAAGATTTAGAATTTTAGTACTGAGCTTTATTTTTTTTTCTTGGAAGAAATACAGAAAGGTCAATTTAAAGGTAGTTTTAACAAACAAAATTTTCATCTTTTTAACCCAAACAACCAAAAAAGACCTCTTAATTCTTAGAGGACCTCTTAATATAAACCTAAATGCAAGTTGTACTAAAACTTTCCTGGTTCATGCTTAGCAAAACTGGGCTGCAGCAATTGCAGGTTTCTTCATATGCCCTCCCAAGTTTTGCTCTTCTCTCCAGTTTTCGAGTCAGTCCCTGGCAGTGGCACTTCCTCGCACACCTCCAACACCTCTGTGTTTGTTCAGCACCTAGAAGTTTACTCTTGCCAAGTGAATTATGTTTGCAGCAACAAAATTATGTTCCTGAAATAGGTCTGCTCTACTCTCAATGAAGAAGCTTGTACATCTGCAGACCCACAAGCTCTTTTGATGAGCTGTGCCTCCATGAAGTCCTTCTTTTGTGAGACAGAGATTACTTTAATGCTAAACTTGGGATACCTTATATTTGTATGATGGACACTTGATAAAATGACTTCTCAGGTGTTTTCATATTTTTTTTTTCTGGCTTTAAAGCCTGGATAAACTATTAACCTTTCTTTTTGTAACTTGACAGGAAAGGGAGCATCAAATATATTGGATCAATTATATCCATTTATAAAACAGTTTCATATAAATTGTATGAGAATAAGCATTTTAAYTGGACAGTAATAACTCCTTTACTGAGTTAACTGATTTTTATTTCAGTGTTTTYAAATCCTGTAAAGAAAAAAACATATTTAGGACACTGATGATATCATGTCCCCATAAAGATAAGTTGCTACACTCACTATTGTTTTTATGAAATGTTGTGGAATATTTTGAATAATGAACTTCAGAGTTTTAGACTATTGWGTTTAAATATTGTATGATTAGTAGTGATATAATGATAACTGAGCGTGGGATTTTATTTTCCTGTTCTACAAGTTCTTTTAAATTCAAGTCATAGTCATATCATATATGTAATGATTTAACGTAATGACATAATGACTTGAGTGACGAAGCAGAACAAGCAAACTGGAAACTCGAGAAAGAAAAAGATTTTTGTGAGGCACTGTAGATATTTTGAGGAGAAAACAGCCTGATTTTTATTCAGATTRGTTTTATTTACAAAAGTGGCCATTTGTAATTTTGCAAAACAGCATTTTTGTTTTCAAGTTGTCTAAATAGTCCTGGCAGTTTAAGYAGTCAAATTTAAACCTGACTGTAATGAAGAAGGGTTTTAGTACTGAATGATGTTATCTAAGTCATGAAATTTTTGGATGCCACTTGCTTTAGCTGCTTTCTGTAGGGCTCCAGACCTACAGTGCAGTTAGTTGCCTGCCCTGCTGGCAGTTTGGAGGGAGGTGTCTGTGCATGTGCAGGGACTGCTTAGAGTGAGGTGTAAGAGGTCTAAATCACTTGTGGTTATCAGCTAAGCCAAGTGTTTCCAAACTTTGAGCAAAATAGGGGCACAGAACACACGGAAGTGCTCGTAGATGCTGTATAAGCTTACCTGAGGAGAAATCTTTAGGTGGCAACTGGGCTCTTTAATAGCTGTGTCTAGCACTTCCTCAAGAAATATGTATAGAGCAGATGGTTCTTTAGCAAAAATCATTATTCAGTACCCTCTAGCTGGCTGAAGTAAGCTCAATTCTCAGTTAGTTTTCTGTTTTGAGGGTTTCTAGTTTTAGCTCCTTTTTCAATGAAGATTCAAGGTTGCTGAAGTTCCAAAAACATCCATTGCCCAGACAATTGCTGTGGCTCGGATGGTGGGAGCCATGTAAATCCTAATGGTTGAGGCAGCGTGCAAGAGCTTGTCTGCCATGGAAAGTGGTGATCAGCTGGTGATAAAGGAAGAGACAGTGAGGGGAAGAGCAGCAAATAGCAGGACAAATACATGTTTTATTCCCCAACTGTCCATAAAACATTACRTGATTGAAGAGATCAGCAGTCTGGCTTGGTGCAAGCAGAAAATCAGGTGGGAGGGAGTTACACCATCCAGGTTACTAAATATAGTTTTCTTTTTCCCTCACCCATTYATTAATTGTCAGTCAAAAATCAATAGACTTTCAGCACAGAAGAAAATCTTGATACTTTGTAATTGTAAATCCCCGTCTTCTCCCCATTTTAAGAACTACATGCAGTTGTGATTATCCTCTTTCAGCATACATGTAGCAAAATTAGAAAGGAGCAGTGCTGGCARTAAGGATGATGGCAGCAGGTAACACCATCTATATGAAGAAGACTTAAACACCTTTGGGTAAGAGATTTCTGCATGGAAAGGGGACATCTGTAGAGGTCATAAATGGCAGGAAGAAGATGATTAGGAAATGATCATTCATTTTCTCATAGAATTTAGGAGATATGTGATGAAACTGAGAGYGGGATCTCTGGCGGGGTTTTTGTTTTGTTTCTGAGAAGTCTTTTTTCAGTGCAGCTAAAACCAGAGCTCGGTTCTGAAGGTAGCTGTGAAGATCAACACTGCACCTGGTTCTAAAACCAGATTTATTTATGGTGATTTTAGAAATGAGAACACAGAAGTTCCTAATAAGATGAGCAAGGTCAGTCTGTATCTGTTTCTTCCACTCTTTSCTTGAGTGTGCAGAGCTGTCTGCTGCCAGAGCGGGTTCTGAGTCAGGCGCATTTGCCTGACTGAGTGTTTCTTTTCTAATACTGCAAAAGAGTACCTAAATGTTCTTTCTAGTGCAAGTACTCATTAATAAAATAATTTAGTTAGCAGAGAAAGCAATAAGAATCCAGAAGCCTACCATAATATATGTAGTTCTTTGTATGATTCGGCTTAGTACAGTTAAATGCTTTTCCTCCTTTAATTTTCAGTCTGAAGAGTGCTAGGAAAAATGGAGTGTAGTAAATTACTGCGATTATATGGTAATTGATTTAATGAGGCAGAGATGCTGTGAGAGACTGATGATTCTTCGGAGTCCTGCAGGACACAGTCAGTGCATTAAATCATCATCGACACAATTACATATGCACTGTACAGCTCGCTGGTAGTTTTATTACATGACTTCAAGTATCACTGCAGCTGAACAAAGCACTTAAATATATTAGTTTTTATGCAAAATTTCCAAAGTAGAATAGAAAGGATATGAATATCAAAATAGGAACACGAGCAGTACTTCTGAAGTCTACTGYCAAGCAAAGAGAAGCAGCCCTTCTGTTAATGTAGCATTAACATTCAAATTGATAGAATAGATAACAAAGTGACAAAGTTAGGCACATCGTAGCAGTAATTGAGAATTTGTGTATGCTGCAAAAAGTGATGGAAAAAAGCTTCCTGCTCCTGGTAGCCAAGAACTATCAAGTTCTSTGGACTGATTCTAGTTAACATACCTTGTTGTTGTACAGAAGCTGAAAAATGGAGAAAAAAAAAAAAAGAGTAGATAATGGCAAAACCCACGATATTTCTGAGTTCTATTCATATACACATTTCTCTGCTGAAGGATGAAGAAGTTTAAAAGAGACTTTAAATGAATACTGGAAGAGATTTGCTTTGGGGGTATAAAGGCAATGAGCAGGCATAGAAGGGTGATCTGTAACCACTCTGTTTAATTTACCAGGCACTTTGCGACCCATTTCTCCCTGGCGTTGGCTTTTCTCAGTCTTGGTTCCACTGGTGATTGCTACACAGGGTTTTAAGAAGAAGAGTCTTGATCACAGCGGTGCTTTGGGAGGTATGGGTTTTTTTCCTGAAATTATTAAACTACCTACTTGATGAACTAAAATATATATTTTTTCATATATATATAKAKAGAGAGAGGAATATATATATTCCTATAAAGTGTATATAATATTCCTTTAAGGCTATCCTAGCTAGTCCTATAATGGCAAAAATGTGTAAGCATGAATTCATGCTTATTTTTTTAAACCTATTTATATAGTCATTAGGTTTTTTTGCTGCTGTTTGTGATTCTTTTGTTGCAGGTAAGGTAAAAAGACATGAGGTAATAGAAACTTTGGACCCCACAGTATCATGTATGTTTTGGGAGAAACTGCCTGATACAGGTTTTTTGTTTTGTTTTCACATACCTAGAGATAATGGAGTGAAAGAGGCGGAGTAAAGAAATACCACAAAAACTGAGGCATGTCAGCAGCCTGGTTCTCTGGTAGCATACCAGTAAAGAGGTTCTCCTTTTGGATGTTTTTTTGCTTCCCCAAAATCATAAAGAAGTTCAACTTTAGCAAGATTGCTGCTTCAGGAGAGTTTTTTCTTGACCGTATTGCCTTCGTCCCTGAGATACTGTGCAGCAGGGCTCACGAGAGCCTGCTGAAAGACTTGGGGTGAGGTGCTTCACCTTGGTCTCCTGAACTTCTGTGAATTGGTAGTCAGTGGAAAGACACAGCACTGCAAATCTTCTCCTCCCATCTGATAGTTAAGAGCCAATATTTCCTAGTGAGACACCATCTTTGCTTTTCTGCTGCACTTTTACCTCTTCATGTATTTCAGCTTTGTTAGCTCATGCTGGCTTTTAGTTTAAGTGCTGCCAATTTTCTTCCAGTCCTTAAGAACTGTAATATCCTGATGGGCAGTGAGAATTGGACCTCCCTGTCAAAAGTGTGGAGGAGGAAGTAAGAAAGAAGCTTGTGTAGGAGCTCAGATACCTAAGAAAACTACACCAAAAATGGCAAAAAGAAGTGAGAAACATGAAAATGAAGAACCGAAGGGAAAAACAGCAACTGTTATGAAAGGGATTTAACTAGAATAGCTTAAAGAGCCCCCGAGGGTTGAAATGATCCCCAAGCTGGAGTTAAATTTGCTGATAGMGCTACAGCTGCAGCTGTATGTCTGCTTCATGTGCAAACAGTGCATTTTTTTCAGGCAGAGTGTGTAGATTTTGATTAGATGCACTTCAGCTTTTTCTTGTTGCTCTATATTATATTTTTACACAGCATTTCTGATTATTGGCAATACTAGAGAATGTCTGCAAAAATAAGAAACTTCAGCACTAGGTAAAATTTAAGATAATTTTTTAAACTTTTTTTCAGTCAAGATGTCTTTAAAGTTCTTAGGGTATTGAATACTTCAGCAGTTCTCTTACTGCGTGATTGTCTTGCTGTAGGTTTATCATGCAGATGTAATTGCACATATATAAGAGATTCAAAGTAGAAGTAACTTTTTTTTTTTTTTTTTTTTTTTTTTGTAGGGTTGGTGGTTGGATTTGTCCTTACAGTTGCAAATTACAGTTTCTTCACTTCTTTGTTTGTATTTTTTGTTACTTCTTCAAAACTTACCAAATGGAAAAAAGATATGAAGAAGAAAATAGATGCAGAATACAAAGAAGGTAAGCCCTAACATTAATTCCTTTGGATTCTCTGTGGAAAGTAAATTTCCCTTCTTATTTCCCTTTGTTTCAGTGGGTGAGAGAAGAGGTCGCACTCTTAGTAAAGAACATTGTTGATTCTCGCACCCCAGCACATGAACTGCTAGTAACCTATTTGGCTTTTGTATCCARTCTGGTCGATAAACTGATAACTAGTTTTTGTTTTAAATGTATGCTTCTCTTAGTTTTAGGTATTTATATTTTGCTTCTGCCTAATGCTACTGGGTGTAAAGGTGCTTTGCTTGAAAATGSTTTTTTTTTTCCCCTTTAGGTGGACAGAGGAATTGGGTGCAAGTGTTCTGTAACGGCGGTGTTGCCACCGAGCTGGCCATCCTCTATATGATAGAAAATGGCCCAGGAGAAATTGCCATAGACTTTTCCAAACAATACACGGCATCGTGGATGTGCTTATCCCTTTTGGGAGCGCTGGCATGTTCTGCTGGTGACACGTGGGCTTCAGAGATTGGTAGTGTAATGAGCAAAAGCCAGCCAAGGTTGATAACAACCTGGGAAAAGGTTCCAGTAGGTAAGGAATTATTTGTCTTACTTGTTCTCTTATCTTAATGTTTTGTTGATTTGCTTTGACCTGTGCATCCAGCCTAAAGTTCCCTCAAAAAAAAACCCCAAACATCAAAATTATGGGATTAGAATTTTTTAGTAGGAATTAATTCTCCAAAATTGCATTTATTCAGTAGTGTTTTTACTGCTGTCTCATTTTGATAATACACCAGTATATAGTATGCTGTGAGCTAAAATCCTTCTAAGTGGCATCTGATAATCCTTGTTTTTGGTAAGAAAACAAGGTAAATGTTACAGAAAACTTGCTTCTTAACCAAATAGCTCCTTTCTTTTAATATCTTACAAAGGACAGGCAGCAAAACCTTTCCTCTGTGGGAGCTGGTCCCCACAGTGGGTGACATTGCTGGTGACCAGTGTGCGTTTTGAGTCATAACAGTGTCTCAATCTGAGTTTGGGATCTTGTGGGGCAGGATTTGAAGTGGTCTACATTGCTTTTTTTCTTCAAGTATTACTTAGTTTTCTTTTCCTGTCAGCTGTCAAATACCTTTCTTTGGATTTTGCTCTTTCCTTTAAAAGTGACTTGACAAACCTCTTCTGAGAGACATACTGTTTTAGTAGCACGTGTACTTAGAACTTTGGGTATATTGTCAAAAAAAAGTCTATAAATGTCTGTGTGTGAATTAACTTGACTGTGTTTGGTTTAGGTACCAACGGAGGAATTACTCTGGTGGGCTTGCTCTCCAGCCTGCTTGGTGGCACGGCRGTGGGTGCCACCTACTTCCTCACGCAGGTCGTTTTTGTGAGTGACCTGGATGCATCCGCYCCGCAATGGCCCGTGGTTGTGTTCGGGGCAGCCGCCGGCCTGCTGGGCTCGCTGGTGGACTCCTACCTGGGAGCAACGATGCAGTACAGCGGTGAGATTGCTCCCCTCTCTGCCCCTCACCCCCAGTGAAACCCCACTGAGATGGTTTGTAAATATTCTAGATTCTAAATATGCAGATTCTGTTTTCTACGGAATAGAATTCTGTATTTTAAACACAGAAACAGTAACACAAAGGCCAAAGGAGGCCAAAGTGATGGACGTGATAATGAAAAGATGGAATTGCAGGTGGTGCAAGACACTCGTATCTTCCTTTGATCACACTTYGATTTTTATTTTATGCTACTGTCTCCTGTCCATTTGAAATTATGTCCATATTGTAAATAATCAAGCAAAGGGAAAGACTTTTTATTACCCTTCATGTCTCTGCTCTGATTCTAGATTTGTCTGCATTTGCATTATATATTTATTTTTAAAGTCCCCTGTTTTTCTCTCTCAAGAAAACTTTCTAAAACATAACAAATGTTGAGAGTTAAACCATGAGGATTTGACACTTGACTTTCAGTAGCCATTAGCCAAAACTAGATTTAAACATATGATGAGACTCCACGCAGATTTATGTGTGCTTTTTCCCTAAGTTTTTTTCTGTTGTGCTTTTGTTTGGTTTGCTTTGTAATAAAGCCACAGGTCATAATGGATTATTGATGTTGTGAGTATTAGCAGATACTCAAATCTGTGGGGAAACAGAGTGCTGGTGCAGAGGGTGCTGACCTGTTCTGCAGTGTTTCCTCATGTCAGCGTTAAGTGTGTGCGTCTGCACACACCTCACGGCCACTGCTCTGCAGAGAGAGCTGCCACTGAGGTTTGATGCTTTTAGCAGCAAATGCAATAGCCAATTTGGACAAAAATCCCCCTCAAAAAACCCAAACTCCCCCCAAAACCCCAGAGTAACTGTGTGTGCACAATGACAGCTAATGGAACACAGTGCTGGMAATGCACTCTGTGCATGGGGGAAAATACATGCAGCTGGAAGTGTATAAGTTAGTGTGTAGCTAGACATGTTGAAATTAGCTTTTATGAGGAGCTTATTTGCTGTTCAATCAAGTAACTTCAGTTACTAAACTTTGAAAACAGATACATCTTTTCAAGAGGAAGACACGTTTCCGGTTAGCTTTTCCAAGAAAAAGCTAACTAAAAAAAAAAAAACTTAGCAAAAAACTAACCCTTTTACTAAAACAAAAGATGATGATTTGCACAGAACAGAAACAATTTTTATGTCTTCTGGTTTTGCTCACACTTCATACCTTATCTTGTTATGGAGCTGTGCAAAGAGAGAGACAGGCCTGGTAGAGCTGTAAATCATCAAAAGAAGTTACTTCTAACGTAAATTATAGTATTTATATCCAGTTATTGGAAGCTATTAGATTAAACCGTAATTTAGTTAGGTCAGTGTCTATTCATAGTGATGTTTAATACTGTAATTTTAAACAGAACATTTKAGGAAATTGCATGCACTTGTTTGTTAGGTTTATTTCCAGCTTGGATAGCTTGGTAATTCAAAGTATTATCTTTTCACAGGTTTTGACAAGAATCTTGGCATGGTTGTCAACCACCAAACAAAAGACTCGAGGCACATCTCTGGAAAACCTATATTGGACAACAACGCAGTGAATCTGTTTTCTTCCGTGATCATTGCCTTGGTGCTGCCAGGTGTGGCATGGGGCTTCTGGCCCAGAGGTTGAAAAGGCTGCGAGTTTTTCTGCATGGGATTCGTTGCTGCTTGGCCCTGCTCGGAGCCTCTCTGGGGGCTCTGGAGGAGAGGGCTCTGCAACACCAGAGCCAAAGGATCTCCCCTTAGGCTGGGCTCTCTCACCTTAGGCTGGGAGTTTCCTGGGGCACTTGCCATCAGGGAGGGCCAGAAAGGGGTTTTGTCAAGAGGCGCTTGCAGCTCTTCGAGTGGSTGTCGATCACTGCCAAGCGAGACACAGCACTTATCCTCATGGAGCTCCCCTCAGCTCTCCTGGTTTCTGCAGTCCACACAATGTGAAAGAGCAAGAAACTGGAAACAGAAGGTTCATCTACAGCTACCAGCATGGGGAAATATTGCGGCTGCTGCCTGAGCCTGGCGCGCAGCGCTCCTCAACTTCAGCTTGGCAGTGGTGACACGGGTGAAATCAATGAATTCTGCGTTACTCTTTCCCATGATCCCCTATAGGATGTAAGATTTTGTGGGAATAGTTTGAAATTTTAAAACAGGTAAAAAATTTATTTGAAGCCTAAGACTAAATTTAAAAATATAACATTTTTTTTTCCAGTAAGAAGAATAAATATATTTTTTGTTTTATTCAAACCTTTGAATTCTTTATTTCCAAACTCAAAACATAAAGATTGTTAGCACTGTTGTAATGTGGTACTTATTAAATTGTCTAAAATTAAATATAACAGTTTATTAATAATGATTTTAGGAATAAGAACGTTGTTGCTGTGTTGCTTGGCATGCTGACCAAACCACTCGCTGTGGGATCTCTCTCAGGGTTCTTTCTCTTTGGGTTGGGGCTGCTTTGCAGAGGTGACACCCTCTGCAGCTGCTTTGGTTGAGACTGTCGTTGTTGTGAAGGGGGAGAGTCTCATGTACAAAGCATTTCAAAATGGGAATTCAGCTTTTACTGCTCGGACTGCTATATCAGAATAGTTCATCTTTCACCATTCATTATAAAACATACAGAAGTGACTCAGCACAGATTTTACTGAAAAACTAATGAATACCCTCTTAATAACCTCTCACTGGATGCACTTGGAACGTAGAACCTGTACAGTTAACTTAGAAAAAAACTCTTTTTTCTATCTTTTCATCAATGACTATTTTACATTAAACATCAGATTTTTTTACAAATGCACTATGGGTTATGTACATGCACCTTTTGTGAGAACACCATAAATACACTTTCCATTTTGAGCTTACTTGATTGAAATCTGTCCTGCATAAATCTGGAGTTTAGCACTGGAATTTCTAGACTGTAATATCCAGTTATATATAAGATTTCCAACTAGTGAAAGCTTCCTGAAAAGAACAACTTTGTGGCTGCTGTACTTCACTGTTCAAGGTGCAAAAGTATAAAAGGAAAATGTGCACTTTAAACAAAAGAAGTTTTTATGCATTAGTTGGATTTTTGCTGCTCCTAAATAAACACTGTTAAATCTTTTAAAAGATTTTATTAATACTGTTTGGATTTCTGGAATTAATATGCTGAATATCTGTAAGATAACTTTTGATTAAATGGCTTATATTTTTAAAATACTTTTGATTCTTGAAACAAACTTTTTCAAACCCTGAGGTAGACTTAGTTTTTTTATTAATTGGGTCGTTTTCTTGAACTATTTCTTGCAGCAATGAGAACATAYCTGTGATTTTAAATTCCTAGCAGCAGGAAATGCTTTCATCTGTTACCACGTGAATTACCATGATCTGAAAGAGCTGCTGCAGGTAGGACCTTCAAAGGACCTTGTTGAGACTTTTGTCATGTTTTCTTAGCAATGACACAGGGCTGTTCATGAAATTCCCACTCATAAATCTTTAGTGTTTGGGAAGATCTGGGCACCCTGATGAGGACAATGTTAACCCTGAAAGTATTATTACATTGTGAGGATATATATTCCTTACGGATATATATTTCTTAGATTTACCTTATTCACTAGTCATTGAATTGCTAGTGTTTTTATTTTTGTGGAGGAAACACAAGGAGAAAGTTAAATGTCCTGTAAAGTGGCGCGTGTCTCTCAGAGCAGTTATTGGGATCAGAAAGGAGCAGAAAAGGAGCACATGGTGCATGGAGTAAAAGGAGTGAAACACAAGTGATGAAAACAGGAGGAGCTACAATAAGAATGGGAGGAAACTTCTGGAAAGAGTTTGAAAGTGCAAAAGAGGTCAATGCACCAAGCAAATTTACTTTCATCCCATAGAAACATTTCAGGGKTTATTTTCTTTCAGAGCTTTGGGTATATTTAGTTTGAGACATCTGTCGCTAATTTTCCTTTCATTCTAAGCTGCACCAATGTTTCTATAGCATTAAGAGGATGTATGTATAAATAGATTTTTTTTTTAACTCGTTAAAATTATGAGGCATTGAACCTGGTTCTTACTGTGACTTTCAAACGTTATGCAAGTTCAACTAAAAGTGGGTTTAACTACAGTTATGACACAATTTTTGCTTAATAAATAACATATAATGCAATCTCTTTGTGCATGAGAAATTTTTAGCCAGATTTAGCTTATACTGAGTGCATTGATCATGAGTGCTTAAAGATGCTGGTATCACAGAATAATATAATTATTTTTGTAATTCTTTTTATTTTGTCATTTTGACTGACACTTAGACCTCTGCCTCCTTTGACGATAGAAAGTTGAAATGCCCTAAAGATGTTTGACAACTCGACCTTCACTAACTTTTAGCTTGGGTCCCAAGTGAAGGGGAAATTTGGGAGTGTTGAAATGAGGGGTGACGCAAATGACTGCGGGTGCTGAAGCAGTGGGCACCTGATAACACAGACGTCCAGCACATGAGCATTCCCTTAACCAGGATGGTTAAGGGAATRGAACATCTCTCGTATGAAGAGAGGCTGAGTGAGCTGGGCCTGTTTTCTCTGGAGAAGAGACGGCTCAGAGGGGATATGATTAATATGTATAAGTTCRGGAAGGGAGAATGCAGGGAGGAAGGGGACARGCTGTTYTCACTGGTGRCCAGCGAYAGGACGAGGGGTAATGGCCACAAGCTGAAGCACAAGAAGTTCCGTCTCCAGGTGAGGAGSAACTTCTTTACTGTTAGGGTRACAGAGCAGTGGAACAGGCTGCCCAGGGRGGTTGTGGAGTCTCCTACTCTGGAGGTCTTCARAACCCGCCTGGATGCYGCCCTGTGCCACATGCTGTAGGTGTGCCTGCTTGAGCAGGAAGGTTGGACTAGATGATCTGTAGAGGTCCCTTCCAACCTTAAATATTCTGTGATTCTGTGATTCTGTGATTCTGTGTTTTACTTGAAAGGGATGGTCTTTTGCCTCATACTATCACCAGATTAATAGTTTGCTCAAAGGCTACTCATAGCATTTGCCTGAGAAGCAAAGCATTAATAGCTTCGGCTCCAAAGAAAGTTTGAAAGTTCAAATGCAGCTGAAATCCTTGAAAATTCCTATTAAATCTATGATATCACTTTAATTCTCTTAAATGATGTCTATATGCATGTGCAGATCCACTTTACTTCTAAAATTAGAAGGTGAGAGAAAAAGGACTAGGACAGTATGAATATCTATCACTGTGTACCTATGTCTACACAGAATTTACAAATCCAAAAATACCACTCGTCTTGCATGCTATTTTGGGTTGTTATCACTTGTCCTTGACAACTGCAACGACAAAGGGAATTTTTAGACTCTTAAATGTCTGCAGCATGAGAAATGTATTCCTTCCTGTTTACTTTCTCCTGTCATCTGAAGAGTTTGGGCTTCTTTGTCCCCTGCTCCCTTCATCTCATTCTGCTTTAGTGACCCAGCTCCCAGCCCRAGTAATAACCCCGGACACCAGTACAGGCTGGGGACTGACCTGCTGGAGAGCAGCCCCGCAGAGAGGGACCTGAGTGTCGTCGTGGAYGACAAGTTGACCAAGAGGCAGCAGTGTGCCCTGGTGGCCAAGAAGGCCAACGGGATCCTGGGGTGCATTAAKAAGAGCATCTCCAGCAGGTCGAGGGAGGTGATTGTCCCCCTATACACAGCCCTGGTGAGGCCACATCTGGAGTACTGTGTCCAGTTCTGGGCTCCCCAGTACMAGAGGGATGTGGAGCTGCTGGAGAGAGTCCAGYRCAGGGCTACGAGGATGATCAGGGGCCTGGAACATCTGCCCTATGAGCAAAGGCTGAGGGAGCTGGGCCTGTTCAGCCTGGAGAAGAGAAGGCTGAGGGGGGACCTGATCAGCGTGTATAAATACCTCAAGGGAGGCAGTGAGGAGGAGGGGGCGGCCTCTTTCAGTGGTGGACAGCAACAGGACTAGAGGAAACGGTCACAAGCWGAGTCATTAAAAGTTCCATAGGAACTTAAGGAAACACTTCTTGACAGTGAGGGTGACAGAGCCCTGGCACAGGCTGCCCAGAGAGATTGTGGAGTCTCCTCTGGAGATCTTCAGAGATCTCAAAACCTGCTTGGACGCAGCCCTGTGCCCCGTGCTCTGGGTGACCCTGTGTGTGCAACGGGGTTGGACTAGATGGTCTCCAAAAGTCCATTCCAACCTTAATGATTCTATGATTCTGATTCTATTCTCATATGCAAATTTATCTTATATAAATTACATATTGGGAATAGACAGACATTGCAAGAGTGGTGCAACAATACAGCTGTACAGATATGAGGACTTAGGTAGAGGATTGAGAGGTCATGGACAGTTCCTTGATATCCTCATTCCTCTATGCTGAAAATACTTGGCAATTTATAGTGAAGTATCTGGTATTAATGACATATATGGATGGTTTGTGAAAAGAGCAAATGTTACTCCTATATCCTGGCTGAATTACATTCTGGCTACACGCTGCCTCCTTAACAAGTGTTCTGACAGGCTCTAAGTTCAGAGTTGTTCATTTCTTCCTCCTCAACTTTTCTGCGCTGTAGGTTATGCTGTAGCTTCCTTTCACTGTAGTTCTGTGATGTCTGATCATTTTATCCACCACTGAAATCCCTCTAGTCTGTACAGAAGCAAACATCAAAGCTGCCAGCCAGCCAGGGAATCTTTAAACAAAAGGATAACCTAAGAATCCGTCTTTCTCTTTTCAACATTAACCTTTGGATAGCAGCAAACATCATCTGTACAAAATAAAGGCCTTCTCCTGGAAAGCTCCACGAGGCATTTCTTTTTTTTTCTTTTACTGCTATACCCAAACCGCAAACCTTTCCAGAACCCGTTTTTTACAGCTCTTGTTGCTGCTCTGCTCGGCCCCTGTCCCCCCGGCAGAGCCTCGTGGGCACTGCTTCTCCGCAGGCCGGCGCGCTGCACGCGCACCCTGCTGCCCTGGCGCTGGGAAGGCCCCTCCTGCCTCGGCACAGAGAAAATGGCTGTGCACGGGGCAGGGCGAGGGATATTGCGGCACTCGAGCCGCATCAGACAGAGCTCCTCGTGTTGTGGATGTAGGCAAGCAGCTGTTTTACCTTTCCCCATGGAAACAGTTGATTCCAACAAGCAGTTAATTTCAGCCTTCACCCTTTAAGCAAGCTCTTTATCCTGATTGATGGGTTTCCTCCTGTCTGCCCTTATGGAGCTGAYGGGCTGTGGGAAAGGAACAGAGCCCAAGGAATTGCTGGCTTTGTCTTGGAGAATTCAGAATTACAGCYTGGTGGGAAAAGAAATGGAAAATTACCAGTCACTTACAGCCTCAGGCCTTGGATTTTTCTAGAACGCCTCTAGTGAGACAGGGTCCTTCTCTAACTCCTTCCCATCTTCCTTCAACGCTAGCGAGGMCTGTCCTGTGGGAAAACGAAGTGTGGAGCCACCAAGATGGAGCCTGAGGCTTGAAGGCACTGGCTTATTTTCTGTAATTCCCATGACTGGGCTATGTAAAAGCAATCTCTTTTCCTTCTTTGTGCTCTTGGATCTCTCATTGCCTCTTAGTTAAATGCATGAAGAGACATTGATTTTTCTAGCAGCCTAATTGTACATCAGATCAGAGCAGAAGTCTCAGGATCTCTGCTGGAAACTGGCCAGGGTTAAATGTGTTGTGGGAAGGGCCAACATAAAGGCAATTGGCCTGGACGCCAAGGAGATGACCTGCACACGGTGGAAGTTTCTCAGCCCTCAACATACAGCTACTAGCGTGGAAGTCCCTGAAACTTTAGAGCTCCTGTCACTACGCTGCTCTGCAGTTATCTTCATCTTGACATGGACAAAGTAGATGAGAAAGTTCCTCCATTTATACTAAGTCTGCCAGCATGACCGACATCCCTGGACTGAATTACTCAACAACAAACCCATTTAATCATTAAAGGTCGGTATAACCCATTCTTCCCCTTGCTTGCTCTGGCACTGTGTCTGAGTCACTGCATCAGATGATGGAAGGTTGGGTTCTGTGATTTCTCCTCCTGATGTCTCTTTTCTATCACGGTGCTACCACTTCAGTCTTCTCTCTGCCATTGTTACTGTGCCCCAAAAAAGCAGAAYTATTGAGAGCAGAATTAGTGCTAATTCTGAGGTTTGGACTAAGCCCA